ATGTGTGTGTGAATGGGTGGATGACTGGATATGTAAAGCGCTTTGGGGTCCTTAGGGACTAGAAAAGCGCTATATAAATACAGGCCATTTACCATAAGACGCAGACCTTCAAAATAAAACAGGAAACACATACACCCAATGACACAACGCAAAAACTTCACACAGACTGGAGAACACATAGGAACATGAAAACAAAACCCAGAATAATAATAACTACTAAAACATAAACACGGAGTCACACACTCCGGATCATGACAGAAACAACATAACCTGTGTTTTAGAATAACAATCAGTTATTTTGTTTTTAAATGTTTTTTTTTTTTTCAAAGTCCAAAAATCAACCTTTTAAGTTAGTTTGACTGTCAGTGAACATCAGGTAATAAATATCTACTGGTGTTACCAAATTTTGACTTTGTTTATTTAGTCCACCTTCTAAGTATCTTTTTTACTTTTTCCTTCTCTGCTTTGTGTTATGCTTCAGTCTCTCCTTACCATTTCCTGTGCACAAGCACAAAGAAAAACCAATCTGTCTTTGAGGAATGGAAAGAGGAGGGTTTTGCCACCTAGTATAACTGAACTGATCAAAGACTTTGTTATTTTCACTAGTGACACAATGGAGGGACGATTTCTACTGCAGATACTCTGTAAGTCCAACCTTTGCTTTTATGTCTGGGCTACAATTTGACAATAATCTTGTGGATTACATCAGTTTTTATGCAACTACATTAGAGAATGAAGCTGAAATCAGTAATAGTTCATAGATGTCAACTGACAATATGACAATTAGCCATACAAAATAGAAGATTAAAGAAAAAATAAATAAATAAATCAGACAGTCAATTTTGTAATATTTTTTGACACAGGCCTATATAACTTCTTTAGGAATCAAAGACTCACTTTTAGTGTTTGGTGTTTATTTAAACACAGTGATTGTGGCTCAAACAACTTTTGAGATGCGATGAATCATAAGAAGTTCTGAAAAGAGAAAACATTAAGGCTTATTTTTACAGTTCATAAAACATTTCAAATGTCTTTAAAGCTTCCCAGAAACAGCAACCATAATATAGCACACAAACAACTTTATCTGTGCTTAAAATGTTATACTATTTGAAGTACAGTAATTATGTCACAAAAAAGAGAGAAAGAAAAACATTACTGAGTACTCATTACACATTTCATCATAAAAATAAACATGTTCAGAGAGTGTCTTCTTACTGTTGTGTGGCCCTATAACACTTGAGAAAGTATTTAAAAGAAAAAGTTGGACATAAAGTATATTAGTCTTAAAAAGGGGCTTTCTGCCTGCTGTTTTCCATTACATACATCTGGTATGTTGTTAACATACATTAGAGCTTGGTTTCCTGTTTCCTGTGCTCAGACTGAATCAGCTAAAGTCGAACCACGTCAACACCATTTTATGTTTCCCCCACTCATGTTTATCTGCTTTTCACTGCTGTGAAACCTCAAACCATCCTGTCTTTATTTGCAGTGCTGATCTCACTGCGGAGCTACACAACAAAGCAAGGTCAGTCAATGTCTATCACTGTTTAAAATGTTAATTTTCATTTTTTACCTTTGGACTCTGCTTGTATAGCTGTGCTTTAATCATCATTAAAAAAAATAAAATAAATCCTTGTTTATCTTATTCTGACCCTTAATGCAGTGCTTTAGCTCCCCTTCTTTCTAAAACAAACAATTGTGGCTATTCACACTTTTAAGCTGTTTTTTGTGACAGGCTACCCATCACAAACAGTAAGCATGTGGGTTGGACTTATGATTATGGTAGGCGCATACTCACTTTATGACATCGTATATATATTTCTGCAGCATGTGGTAGGAATGACATATGGGATCACATCAAGGATAGGCTCTGAGCCCCTTGTTAAAAATGGGGATGGACAGATTGACACATGAAGTGAGGGAGAAGTCTCTGCAGACTGGTGTTTGCAGAAAACCAGGCGTGGCAAAAGTACAGACATTCTGTACTTAAGTAGAAGTAGAGATACTAGTGTTAAAAATACTCCAGTAAAAGTCGAAATAGTGATTCAGCTTCTACAAAAGTAAGCCAAAGAAAGTAAAAGTTAAAAAGTAAAGGCTCTGAAATGTACTCAAAGTAAAAAAGTAAGAAGTAGCTTTTTGGAGGATGTTTCTGTTTTTTTTGTGCAAAGGTAAGTGAACCTTGTGCTGTATTAAAATAATAAAATAATATCAGTAGATGGAAATACAAACTTTAGTCAATTTTTTAAAAATTCTAATTATACTCACCATAATCTAAAGAAAAAGAAGAAAAATAAAATAATATATTTATTGTCTGTTGCCTACGTTGTATAGGGTGACTTTGCCTCTAAAGAGGAAAATGTGTAAGGTCAGGAGTTAAAGTGGATTCAGCATGTGGGGGAACCCTAAAAATGGTTGTAATGGCTCAGTGTGGGGAAAAAAGAATTATAACTCACAATAATTCCTTTTGAGAGCTTCAATAGATTTTCTTAGTGTACAGGCTGTGATCATCTGACCTGCTGCTCTTTGTGGATGTATGTAACCAGATGGGTTTCAGAAGTTGCCCTGCCTGATTTCCACTGACAGTACACTGTTTATGCCGTGTTTTTTCTAGATGATATGAAGTTAGTAGGAAGGTGGAGTTCACTGAATGAATCTCAGCATCATCCGCTAAAATTCACATGAATCTCTGTATCACTCCCTCCAGTTAATACAGGACACCACGGTTCTTCATTCACAGATGGATTTATTCTTCCGTCAAACTTCTCCTCAGAAACACCATAAAATCCACCGTCAAACTGTTATTACATAAAAGTACAGAATGACCAAACATAAATATTACAAATAAACATTTAAACCCAAGTTAACAAATACGCGATAAACAAACACAGTTAACATACCTCGCTGGCTGCACGTAACCGTGAGGGAATGAGTCCGCTTCAGGAACAAAAACTTAACGAAAATAATTCCCAATTTCTTCTTCTTCGCAGCTTTCTTTTACTTTACACTGCTTATTTATTCCTTCTTCTGACTTAGTTAACTTATTAACTTAGCTTCTTTGGACATGCTTTTGACTTCCCTTTACGTCACTTAAAAGGCCTGTGCGCAACACAGAATGAACCTTAGTTCCTACCCCAAAAGGAACAACAATAAATAAAGGAAATAAATAACATAGATGAACGCAATAAATTAAACAAACTGACATAATTTACATTTATGGCAGTTAAACTCTGCTACACTTGATGTAACCCATGAAACCACAGCCACTGTGCACCAGTCACACACTGTAGTGGAGATTCTTTACTTTAAACGATCACAGTACAGCAAACTAACCTGCAGAGGATTCTCATGCAGTCTTTAAATAACACGGTTAGTCTGCCCCAGATTGTTTTGCAGCATCTTTCACAATATGAAAAAAAAATAATGTCACATGTACAGACTGAATATCTGATGTGTTTGCTTATGTTTGTTGAGCTGATAGAAATGGTGCATTTAAAACTACCTGTCCCAACATCTTATTCCCTTTATGGTCTCTTGTCTTCTGTAGAGGTAGCTAGATGCTGAAGCACTGAAACTTATAGACACCTGCAGTCGTTCAAGTGTTGTGAAAACACAAACAAACAAAACAATGGCCCACTTAACAGCTGACTTTGGCACATGTCATCTCTTTTTAACCCTTTAAGACCTACCATAGAACCAAGTCCGCCAGAGCTTATATTATATTTTTACATGCTGT